AACCTTAGGAAAATGAAGGTGAAGAAGCTGTAAGTGCAAAAAACGAACCAAAATCCGACACCGCTGCACCTGAAAGCAAGAATGAGACCGAGAAGTCCCTTCCCGGTGCAAAAGATGGAGAGAAACCGCCACCAGCAAAAGCACCTGTAAGTTGATGTACTTCGACCGTTTGTTCTTGTTTCCCAATTCTAGCATGATACATTCTTTAAATATTTTGTCCATTAAACCTTTCTCGGGTGTCTTTTTTGGTCAGTGCTTTCGTTTTTTCATACCACAGATATAATGTTCATGCAGGAAGTTATACCTGATAATGAATTCGAGAAAAGAATAAGGCCAGAGGTTATCCCTGCAAATCAGATTGGAGTGACATTTGCAGATATCGGTGCTATGGATGATATCAAAGAATCGCTTCAAGAGCTGGTCATGCTCCCTCTTCGAAGGCCGGATCTCTTCAAAGGGGGGCTTCTCAAGCCATGCAGAGGTATATTACTCTTCGGGCCTCCTGGGACTGGGAAAACAATCCTGGCAAAGGCCATTGCAAATGAAGCAGGAGCAAGTTTCATTAATGTCTCGATGTCCACCATCACGTCAAAATGGTTTGGTGAAGATGAAAAGAACGTGAGAGCTTTATTTACACTAGCAGCAAAGGTCGCACCAACTATTATTTTTGTGGATGAAGTTGATAGCATGCTGGGGCAAAGGACTAGAGTTGGGGAGCATGAGGCTATGCGGAAAATTAAGAATGAGTTCATGTCACATTGGGATGGTCTATTGACTAAAACCGGTGAGCGGATTCTTGTCCTTGCTGCAACCAACAGGCCATTTGACCTTGATGAAGCAATAATTAGGCGTTTCGAGCGCAGGTATATTCGAATGTTTCTGGTAACATAGTCTCGAGACTTGCTTACAGCTCGATATGATTGAACATCTTATCTTACTCGTGTGTTTTCCATTTTGAGCAGAATTATGGTTGGCCTTCCATCTGTTGAGAGTAGGGAAATAATTTTGAAAACTTTACTGGCAAAAGAAAAAGTCGAAGATCTCGATTATAAGGAGCTTGCAACCATGACAGAGGGATACAGCGGAAGTGATCTCAAGGTTTGTATTTTCTCTCATAACATTTATCTTGAATTTATATGCGACTGTCGTCAACTAATGGCACAAAAAACAACTGCTGGGAACAGAACTTGTGCGTCACGGCAGCTTATCGACCTGTTAGGGAGTTGTTAAAGCAGGAGAGGTTGAAGGATCAGGTGACGACGAAATCTCTTCCGACTATATCTTTGTTGTTTTTCTTTGTCTAACTGTTCGTGGTATATGTGCATAAGGGATCTTAGTTGTTTTTTATTTCAATGATTTCCTATAGGAGAAGAAGAGGCGAGAAGAAGCAGGCAAGAGCATAGAAGATGCCTCGGAGAAGATAACACGGAGGAACGAGTGATCACATTGAGGCCTTTAACCATGGAAGATATGAGACAAGCAAAGAATCAGGTAAGTTTAGTCATAACCTTTCGCCATTAATCATTGAATGGCTCGTTTGAAACCTGAATGCATATCCTTTTGTCATCCAAAGTGCAATATCGATGTTCGAACCATATTTAGTTCACACTGCGAAGTTACAGAACCATAATTTCTAATGCTCAAAGCTTATTCTAAATGCTTACAACTGTAGGTTGCTGCCAGCTTCGCTTCCGAAGGATCGGTAATGGCAGAGCTAAAGCAATGGAACGATTTACGGAGAAGGAGGTTCGAGGAAGAAGGAGCAGTTGACTTACTTCCTTTAGATTGTAAAATCAGACATCCCATTTCCTCATCGACAGTTCTCCATGGAAGAGGTGTAAAAATTTGGTGATTCCAAAAGCTCCTTCAACAAAAATAGCATTGTTCAACTATACTCGTCGGTCTCACATGATGGGGTAGCATCAAAGATGACAGAAAGCTCCAGCCTGGGTCCGAAGTGCCGAACAATACCAACCACAGAGCTCTTGCTAGGGTGTGTGATATATATATATAAATTTATATTTATGACATTTGTACATGATGCTTAGAAAAGGGTTTTTTGGAAAATATTTTAGTCCATTACTGAACCATTTGGCACCAATATCTGGATTGTCTGAAGATTATTTAATTAAAAGATTTGTGATTATATATAATTCACGTTCGTTTAAGTTCACTTGAATTCAAAATCTTCAGTAGGTATACCGATTGAATCTCTAATATATATATATATATATATATATATATATATATAATAACGTTCACTTATTAACTATACATACATTGAACATAGCTTTGTACTATTAATGGCAGATATATCCATGTTAAGGGCAGTGCATTATAAAACTTGCTGAACTATTTTCCCAAGTGCCATTGCGTTGTTCGGCAGATTATTGACCTACAACCCATCGTTCTCGTGGATGAGACACTAGATCTTTTAAGTAAGGTTAAGGGTTCAAATATTGATGATTGTTTTTTTTGAAAAAGAAATTGTGATTTCATTAGATACCAATTGCATCAAGCAGTACGTTGTTTTTAGAGTTACGCATTCTCTCGCCCATTGGATTCTGTCGAGACTCAATCCTACTTGGTGTTGGGAAATAAACCAAGTAAAAGTAATTTCCCTATAACCAAATTAGTGAGAATGCAAAATAAAAGCGGAAAAATAATACCCGAAATTGATAACGGAGTTCAACCAATTGTGCTTACGTCTCCGGACTGCTGCAGATCTTTTACTAAGAAAATTTATAGGTGTTTACAAAACACCAACTACTCACAAGAAAACTCTCTAGTATTGAGAGAAAGAAATGATTTTTGGATGGTTTTGAAGCTAAATGAGCAAGGGTATTTATAGTTGAAACTTAAGGACTTAATCTTGTAAATACCCTAAAGCCTAGAGATTAATTGTGATTATCCCATTATCATTTTTCAACAAACATCTACCAAACTTTGAAAAACTATTTTTCAAAGAAACATTTACCAAACTTTGAAACCCATTTTTTCAAAGTTGGTTACCAAACTTGAAAACCATTTTAATAATTTCAACACTTGGTTCTATTATAATGAACCCGATTGTATTATTTGTTGTTCTATTTACATACATGACTTTAATTGAAGAATGTTTAGCAAGAGCTTCACGAGCTTCGTCGAGCAATATTCCTATCACGGAAAGGCCATCTTACCTATTAGCGAGCTCATATTGAATAATATTGAAGAATGTGTGCCTCTAATTGAAGAATATTAACGGTTGTAAATAGAGTAAACTAAGTTGTGAGGATTACTCGTATTGAACATCTATAATATCTTATTTGGATGAGTCGCTCAACTATTAAAAGTTACAAAATAACCTCTTATAATGTGTTAATTAATTGAGTTCATCGACTATTAAAATAATCAGGAGACTATTTTTATACTTTACCCTTCTATTAATCATTAAATGCTTCAATTATTATTATCTTTTAGGCTTATATCACAAATAAATATGTATTTATATAAGCACCTAAAGTATTTTTAGTCAAAATAGATACCTAAAGTATTTTATGTCAAAATAGGTACCCAAACTTTTTCATCTAAGTTCTGAAAAAGTTAACATATGGCATTAATTAAGAATACTTTAGGTACTTAGATAAAAAAATTAAATACTTTATGTACCTATTTTAACTAAAAAATATAGCTTCATATACTTATTTTAACCCAAAAAAAAATACTTTAAGTACTTTTTTTAATGTAGAACTATAATATATTCATTAGCCAACTAAATCATCATCAACATCGTCTTTCCACATGCATACAAGATAAATACATTCATATCTATCATAAATAAAATATATCGGTGATCGACCATTGACAACCTGATAAGTAAGAGCTTGAACACTTAAGCCAACAACATACAGAGATGAATCACTCCGACTTTCCAAAACATCAAACATAGAAGAAGAAAACTTGAAGAATATTCGAAGTAAACAAATAAAAAAGAATAATCTTTTAACTGTTGTCTCGTGATCGTCAAACACATATGTTGAGAACCAACAAAATATTATATGTAAATAAAAAAATAGTATACTTTATCTACTTATTTGTTATATAAGTCATATTTTACAGACACCAGAGTAGATGTTATACATATTGTTGATTGACGTGTTATCGAATTTATTTGGTGTCAGTAACGGAGGTACGTAGGAGCTTAGGGACGGGCCCAATTTTTTTATCATTAAAGAATATAAGGATGATTACTTATTTAAATCTTTAAATTTTGATTTATTTTAATTTTGTTCCTCATTTTTTATTGTTAATTATACTTTGACCCTCGAAAAAAAATCCCGACTTTGTTCCGGTTTGGTGTTAACTCAATTAGACAGTTATTAAAAAAATTAATAATTAATATTATTGTAATAACATTTTTATTTTTATTCTTAAATATAGAATAAAAAAAACTAAAATTTACATAAGCATAAGCATGTTTCATTAGCATCATTCATTTCATTGAATTATTTGATAGATCCGACTCACCACATCATTCATGGTCCCAACTAATAAAGATTCATCTATTTCAAAGTAATTTCCAAATAACTACTCACTTCTTATTTACATTATTTACATGCAGGAAAAATGTGAAGATTCACCTTGAAAGAAAAATGAAATAAAATAAATTTAATAATTAAGACTACATATGATGTGGTGAGTTTGATTCATCTAATAATTTTTCGGGTTTTTCCATTCAACGGCCACAAGAGTATAAGAAAACCATGAATATTAACAAAGAAAAGGTTTAAGATGTTTTGTAAAACAAATCGAATTACTCTTAGAGTAACCACAATAATATATATAGTAAAACTTATTAATATATGCTATATAAAAACATATGATCTAAAGACTAAGAAACCATCCTTTGAAAACCAAATTCAATGAGTATATCTGCAACTAAACATGAAAGTCGGAACCACTCAAACATCAAGATCGGTCACCAAAAAGAAAATAAAAAAAATGATTTCAGCAGTGAAAAGAATAACCTTTTACGTCGTCTAATGATCTTTCTTCTTCTCTTTATTCAAGATAGCCATAACCTTCTTCTCTAATATTACATACTGCTTCTTCATCTCGATCATTGCTTTCTCAGCATATGCATCGACCTTGTCCTCGTATTTCTCGTACAACACCGGCACGGTGTACAGCAGAAGGAACACTGTCATACAAGTCCATTTGGTGTGTCTCATCAAACACACACACACACACACACACATATATATATATATATATATATATATTATTGGAAGTGTTTTGAAAAAGAAAAGAAATTGAATTCCTTACCAACGTAGACCAATGTTAAGAAGTTGAAACAGCTCCCCAAAACTGATACAAACCATAATCCAGTAATGGCCTAAGAGCAGCAAAGCAAAAACACCTAGTGAGTCGAAAACATAGCACGAGTACATAATGTGTTATATTGCAGGAAATCAAGAGTTGAAACAAAATTAACATTAATCAATTTCATCCAAGAGATGGGTTTCTCAACTTGGTCTCTGAATTTTTTTGCCCACATTAATTCCTGAATTGGGTTTTTTATTTATTTAATTTTTAGTCCTTTTGATAGTGTGACACTCTTAAGAATGTGGCATGTGACACAAATGAAAACACTCTTAATACTAGCAAAACATGAAATCGTGTCATCAAAATAACTGGAATTTCAAGTTTAGAGGCTAATGTGGACCAAACAAATCAAGGACCAAATTTAAAAGAATATCAAATTCAAGGACTAAAAGTTATTCTATCCCTTGATTTTCAACGTAGCCAGTTAAGCAAAATACCTAGTGAGTTGAAAAAATTGCACAAGTGTACAATTATACCCTCAATTAGATTCCAAGTGAATGACAGGTATAGGTATATATTCAACATGAACATATTTAATATATTCTATTTTTTTCATATTTCTGAAGAATCGTAACTTATTATTCATATTTAAATATGTATAAGACATAATTATTTTATGAAAAATAAAAAGACGAAGTAATAAGTACTATAACTAGATTCATCATAGAGATGATTTTTCTTTGTTTAATATAATAGTTAACTAGGAGGAGGGGAGATATTAACGTTAACATACACCAAGAAACGTCTTCAGATGTTTGCCGGTTGCAATGGTCCGCACAACGTTCATAGCTCGGTTAATTTCAGTCGTCAGACAAGAGCCAGCTTTAAGCAAAGACTTCTCGGATATCACAACTTCTGGAATGTTTGGTGGAGAACTTCGAGTTGAACAAAGTGGGTAAGTTACAATAAGATTTCAATCGCACAATCATACAAGGAACAAAAGAAGAATGGTTGAAGAACCTTACTTGTTGATGAAATTAGAAGCATTGGACCATAGGAAAAGGACTGATAAAGAGAGTATTAATATGTGGCAAATCAGAGTGATTAAATGGTAATCAAGAACTTCAAAGAGAAACCAGAAAGCTGTTACACCACCAAGCACGCTTCCAGACACTCTCTTGTTCCTCCATAGAAGAATATCAGCAGCTGCAAGTCAACATTGAATGACAATGGAAGACGATTACAAACAATAGAAAAATAATCATGAAAGCTTTAATTGAGGAATGACAAAAAATTCACCCTAGTCATAATATAATGCAAATTACAGATTTGAAGATGCATTCACAACTCTCAAATTTTTAACAAATATATAAATAAAAATGAAGGCGATTTCGTTAAAATTCTCGCTAACGTAACTGGACTGAATCAGACAAAGGAATGAAGCAAGATTCTGAAAAACTAGCATGAATGTAAAATCGAAACAAATTACATTAGCATTTCACAACTCGCAAATTACATAAACAGGGGGAAATCCATAAAAATGAAGGCAAAGGCATTGAAATCCTGACTTAGAAAGATTTCGTATCTGGACTCAATCAAAAAGGGGTAAAAAGAGAGAAAACAGGATTTTGAATAGCAATTCTTTGATTTAAATATCAGATTATGAAGTCAATTAGTAAAACAGAGCATGCCATATAATGAGACTAACTGATGTTGATTCAAATAAACTATGCATCGTCAAAGCAGTTAAATAAAAATGAATTCGCGGAATCTATACACACAAACGATTAATCATATGAAAATAGATTTACGTTTTCCCCTAAGACTTGCTGAAGATGATTCTGAATAGTAATTCTTTGATTTAAATGTCAGATTACGTAATCAATTAGCAAAACAGAGAATGTCATATAATGCGACTGACGCTGATATAATAAACTAGCTAACATCACCATTCGCCAAAACAGTTAATAAAAATGAATTCGCAGAATCTCTACATACAAATACACAATAAATCATATGAAAATAGTTTTTACATTTTCCGGCGCCCAAGACTTGGTGAATAGGCTTCTCTCTGCCGAAGAGGCGATAAACCTTGGACTTGAAAGGCACTTTGTGGCCGTGAGAGAGCTTGTCGTCATCGGAATCGGAGGAGGAAGAGGATGAAGAGGACTTGCGGTGGATCTTCTCGGCGATCTCCTCCATCTTCGACTCGATGTGCTCCGCCATTGGATCTACGTGCGGTTGGCTTTGAAAGGATACGAAGGCGTAAAACCGAGGAGTTTAAATTTGTAAAGGTTTCGGAGGGGAAATGGTAATCCGAAGCTAAGGTCTTACGAGTGTAGCGGAAAATGAGGGACGTGCTAATTTCTTGCTTTGCTTATTTATTCTCTGGCCTTCCATTCGTTTCTTGTTCTAAAATCCTTCTAATTTGGATTTAACAATATAAAATCCTACAGTTTATCATTTTTATTTTGATAAAATATTTATACTTTTATATAAAATACCAATTTGTTTGGGACACGAACCAAGTGATAAAAAAATTGTTATTATTCAGAGGATCCCGAATTAGAAATTGACAAGGCTGAAATATTAAACATTTTAAGAAATATATAATTATTTATTATGTATTTAAATTTAAAATTTAAAAGACGATGTCTAATTTATCTAATATTTAAACTTACAATGAACTAAATTATTATTAGACCAAAAAATTGAGAACATTAGATTATCATTCTTTAGTTTAACCCCTACTTAATTAAATATTTAATAAATTCTTATTTTTTAATTTGAATATTTATTTTTACATGAATTAAAATACTATTAGATCAAAGTCTATCGAACATAATTTTTTTAAAGGGGCCGAGGCCTTTTTTGGGCCTCAAGAGAGCTCTGTATATGTTGTTATTCTTTAAGGATAGGAGTTCGAGCTCCATAGATGTCAAGTGTGTGAGTATTCAATGTTAAAAAGTTAGTTTTTTAAACATATATTATCTTGTACTTTTCTCATAATAATTAAGAAATTTTATTTAAGATTAATTTAAATATTAAATTTTATTAAAAAAATCATAAATTGGCTAATTAGTTATATTGTGGTTGTACTTGTGAGCCGATGTTGGAAGTTGAGGTTATTTGACATAACTGACACTGTTTTTTTTTTAATTTTCCATTTCTGACACCGTTTGATCAATATTTCCAGAAGTAGCACCCTTTCTGCTGAGTTGGCAAAGGCGCATCCCCGGGGACGCGCCTTTGCCAACTCAGCAGACACGTATTTTGTTTAATAATAAATAGTTTATTTTTATTATTATTATAAATTAATAATATATTATGTAAAATGTTTCGATTATAATGTAAGAATTATCAAATGTATTTTGTTAATGTGTGTTAAAGGTGGAGTGAATTATCTACATTAATATGATATAACAATATATGAAAACCAGTTTTGACTTTATTGTAGTTATAGGAAAAATGTATGAAATTATAATATTACACATATGGTTATATTATTATTTTTGATTTTGATTATCGATCTATTAATTTTATCAGTTAATTATTTAAATGTTATCAATCTAGTCATCTCATATCAATATTTAACGAAAATATTGATGTATAAGTTAATAAATTAGTATAATTACATATTTAATCTCCAAGACTTACATATTTTATAAAATTAGTCTTATTGAAAATTTAATTTAATAAATTTAATCCTCCAATCAGAACATGAAATGTGTCATCGTATACATAAATTTTTTAATAACTTTTAATTTGTTTAATTTAATATTTTTCTCTACTTAGAAGGTGGAAATTATTATATTTTAAAAAATTATAACTAATAATATTAATTATTATATTAAATAAATATATTAAATATATTTATGTATTTAAAAGTTAAAAAAATTATTTAGGTGTACATACATTGACAAATTATATAAATGCAATAACATTAAATTATTAGAAACAAAAACATTCATTTAAATACAATATTAATTACATAAGAGTTAACGGTTATATGATGATAACAGAGATGGACATTTTTTTCTATTGTGCCCGATGTTTCTACAATGCCCACATCGTTTTTGTTCTGTTGACTTCTCCCGAATATCCATATCACAATGTATTCTAGTAGATTTTGGACGACCTGAGTCCCTCAATAGCAATGGATCTGGTACAATTGTAAGCCAAGTTTGAATCTCATTTGGGTCTATTTCGTTTCCTATGGGCGGAAACTCAAATTCATATACCTTGAATACTTGTGAAAGTTGGTATACGGGATCAACATATTTTTTTGTAGTCAAAATGCGAATGTGAGCAAGCAGCAATGACATGAGAGCATGGATATTTGAGTGCTTGAAAGAAACCACAATCGCACCACCTCTCTTGCAGATTAACTCTGAAAGAGTTAGCTTCAATCCCTTGCAGGGGACGTGGCATTTCGGTTACACGAAACAATTCACAGGTGCGAGAAAAATTTGTAACTAACATCCCATTTGATACAACCACTTTTTTCTGTAAATCAACTACTAGTCTTGGGTTGTAAATATGTCCGTTTTGCATCCAAGTAAGAGCTTGTCCACCGAGCTTTGCAAAGAGTTGACCCAAACGAAAATAAGTCGTTTTAACCAACTCCGTGATTGGTAAATGACGCGCCCCCTTTAAGGTTGAATTTATTGCTTCAACCAAGTTTGTTGTCATATGACCATAGCGATACCCCCCCGTCATATGCATTTGTCCACATTTCTTTGCTGATGTCCATAATGTACTCGCACCCCTTCTTATTTTTGCCAAACAGCTCTTGTAGCATCGACTCAAACCTTTGAGGTAAGAGTTCGTAACCTAAGCCATTAGGAATATGTAATAGTTAATATGAAGTATAAATAAGTAATAAGAAATTGATAGAAAAATTGGGAAAAAGTAACATACCCATCCGCACGACTAACTGACGTTCATCGCTCTTCTTGTATTTTCCGTAATAGTTTGCAGCAATATGACGGACACAATAACGATGTTGAATATGTGGAGGTTTATACATTGTACCCAAAGAGTCCATTGCTGCTTTTATCCCGGCTCCTCGGTCTGAAATAATGCATACTCGTTCCCTGGTGACAACATGTAAACGTAAATTTTTAAGGAAAAAAGCCCAAGACTCAGTGTCTTCTCCTTGAACGAGGGCAAACGCAACAGGAAGAATATTGCGGTTTCCATCTTGGACCACAGCCAATAATAAAACTTGCTTGTATTTCCCATACAAGAAAGTACCATCAATTTGGACAATTGGTTTACAGTACTTGACTGCATTAATACACTGAGGGTAAGTCCAAAAGACTCGGTAAAATTGGCAGCGATCGCGAACCATTCGATCATTCACGTAATGATGTTGAGTTTCGAACTCAACAATTGTCCCGGGATTAAGTCTTTGCACAACATGAAACCAACTGGGCAGCTCGTTGTAAGAGGAATCTCATTCGCCATGAAGTTTGCAAATGGCATTCTGTTTTGCCAACCACGCTTTTTATATGAGACAGTGTACCCATATTGTGACTGTATAGCATAAATCAACACTGCAACAGCTATATGAGAGCTTTGCTTCATAATGGGCATGATTGCTTGACAAATAATGTTGGAGTCCAAGTTGGGATGATCCTGGTTTATACCTGTTGCACAACATGTATGAGGACCGTTGTATCTGGTTAGTTCCCATAAGTTGTTCTTCCTCTTCCTCTTTGATACACGGACCATCCATTGACATCCGTTATCACGTTGGACGCAGTAGCAGACATATTTCTCCGTGTTAGATCGATCAACTCGGGACTGAACTGAGTTACGAATATTGTAACTCTTTATTGCCATCATTGCTTCCTCCTTCGATGCGAACTCCATTCCAATATGTAAATTACCGTCATTGACTGATGATTGAAGTCCATAGTTGCCAACATCAGTAAGATCTTGAAATCCAGGCTCATACATTGCATCATAATCAGCCTCATAAATATGTGCAGGAAGTTCGACTGGTGTTGTATTTATCGGAACGTCATCCTCATCGTCATCAGAATGTACGTTAAACTGTGGTGAGTCAGGTTCAACGAATAATCCCGTTTCAGCACCATCTGCACCTGGCTCCCGAAGAGGTTCTTCTGGTGGAGATGAGGGTTCCTCCGATAATCTAATGTTGAGGTCAAATAAGTTCCCGCTTGCGTGTCCTCCCCTTGAACTTGAGGCCATTGTATCATGTGGGATGTGAATAGATTGTCGTCTCGTTGGCATTTCCATATGTAAGTCGAAAACATTGGCAGATGAATGTCTGCCCCTTGAAGTAGAAGAGATGTTGCCATATGGATTATTGGTGAAGCCACGTGGGTTGAGATCATAAGCAGTTGCAGATGAATGCCTTCCTATTGAACTTGATGGCATGGTATATGGCGTTGGATCCGCCATTAATGATGTGAAATCATTACAGATCAGTTGTGTCGGGATATCAACTTGATCAGTTTGATATGCAATGCCAAAGTGAGAGGAATATGAGAGACCACGAGTTGCACGAACCTCAATAAAAGTGGCATACATTTCAATAAGAGATTGTGAACTCCCCATATGAGCATCAACCATCATAGAAACATCATCATCGTTTGAAAGCTGAAATGATGTATACGTGAGCGGAAAAAGTTCAGTAGGAAATCTGTACTGAAGTGAAGATAGTCTTCTCTGGCCTGCTACACGAATCTTTAACGAAATTTTTGTGATTAACTCCTCAATTGTGATGTTTCTCTTCAAGGTTAAGGGGATATAATGATCTGACTCAAAAACAACCCCCTCTTCGGCTTCTTTAATTTCTCCATCATACAAAACAACAGCAGAAAGACGACTCATTTTCAGAGAATTTGAGAATTTAGAGTTTGGGAATTTGAGAATTTGAAAGATTATGAACTGAAGTTTGTTTTGAAAGTTTATAATACGTTGCATATAATAGTGTCTATAATCGGAGTACTATTCACATGAAGGCGCGTTCCCGGGGGCGCGCCTTCCATTATTTCATCAGAGAATATGTTATCATTGCCCTATTATGTCACTCATGTCCCTCGGGGACACTAGATATATCAGTACCTATTATTTCACTATTCACATGAAGGCGCGTTCCCGGGGGCGTGCCTTCCATTATTTCGTCAGAGAATATGTTATCATTGCCCTATTATGTCACTCATGTCCCTCGGGGACACTAGATATATCAGTACCTATTATTTCACTATTCACATGAAGGCGCGTTCCCGTGGGCGCGCCTTCCATTATTTTGTCATAGGATATGTTATCATTGCCCTATTATGTCACTCATGTCCCTCGGGGACACTAGATATATCAGTACCTATTATTTCACTATTCACATGAAGGCGCGTTCTCGGGGGGGCGCCTTCTATTATTTCGTCAGAGAATATGTTAT